ATATATATATATACACCCCTTATTATATTGTCCCTAACAAAGAGATAGAGATTGTCAGTAAAACAGAAGACAACTGCACCCCAGAGACGTGAAAACCTGAAGTGTTTTGTTGCTTTCTGTTTGATGGTTAATCCAGTGGAAACCTTGCTGACATGTCTCTGAATGCTCGCAAAAGCTGTTATTATGCAAACCCTGCAAATAAGCATACAATTATCCAAGTCCAGGTGAAACCTCAACCTCTGAGCATACCTTCAGTATGCTGCTGCTGCAGATTATGATGACGATGACACTACTGATGCTGCTGCTGATTGTGGGTTATCTCTGCTGTCTCTCAAGAGTTTTATCTTGATCTTTTGTCCTGTGGTTCATTAGAATAATTGTGATATAACGCACCCTGCTACTTTTGAACAGCCTGTAATTCCAATACAAAACACTTGGACAAGGAGGAATGATCTTCAGAAGAATGAAAGGAGGGGGCCTAGATGAAATGATTGAAGATGTTGTGTCTGTGGCCTGATGTAACCTGCTGTGTCTCAGCAGAGCTGCATATATAAAGCCCTTTTCCACTGTAGGAGCCGAGTTATCCACCTTTCTAATTTTTCAAGCAATTTCCCATAGTGTTTCTCCACACTTGAGTTTTTGTTTTCAGCCTTTTGTTGCTTGCAAACAATTTCTCATTTGGTAATAGTTTTCTCTACTTTGGCTTTTAATCTTTTAGTTCCATTTTCTGCATTATTTATTCCTGACCTTAATGTCTTGGCTGTTGTAATGTCATGTCTTCAGGTTGTAGACAAAATAAAATAGCTTGGGTAGAGTTGTCATGGTTACACAGGTAATGACCCAAAATGCAGGCTAAGACGACAGTTGGTAAGAAAAGAGGATTTATTTTGCCATGGGAGAAAAAGGGGAAGGAGAGGGTCCGATAACGAGATGGAGGAAATGGCTGAGGTGAAGCAGTGGTTGAAGCGGATGAAGGAGGCACAGAGTGCGGGCTGTCCAGAGATGGCTGGTGGAGAGCGGGCAAGCAGGTAGCAGGAGGTGGACCTGAGCACAAGAGGATCGGTGGTTAGAGATCATTCCATAAATCAATGGAAAGCACAAAGAACAATAGTTGAAGTCGATCAGGCCGTTAACTACCACGGTGGCTGAACAAACGATCTGACAAGGAGTGGGAGAAAAGCCAGCGTTTATATGCAGTCAGAGTGATGAGTTGATGGCAGGCAGGTGAGCTGAGGAACGGCAGGTGTGCTTCAGTGATTATCCAGGCACAGTCAGGGAAATGTGCCACACCCACAACACAGACAGAGACAAGTACACAACACAAGGATGGGGAAAACAAGGGGAAACAGGGAAACACAGGGAACAACAGTCACGACTGCCATCATGACAAGAGCAGGAACTGATGGTAGTATCATAACCCTGTAACCCCACACACACACACACACACACACACACCTCCCAACACCCCCATCCAAAATCTCCCCGCCCCCCACTCACAACCACCCCACAGACGGTACATATTTTGCGGCTAGCGCAATTTCTCACAATTTTTCTCAACCTTCTCACATATGTTGCTCTTGTTGTCTTTGCACAATGTTTTTGTTTCTGTCTTGCATTTTGGAAAATCAACAATTTCCTCTTTCTTTGACCTCTGTATTCTTTTGAACTCTGTCTCCCCTGTAACTTGTACTTGTACTATCATATGACTTTTTGAACATTTTGAAGTGCAGTTGAAGACGCACAATTAATTGTCCGCTGTTGCCCTCTAGCGGCTATAGTTGAACTCGAGTTGAATTGTGTATTAAGAAGACTAAGATAAGATAAGATAAGATACGATAAGACTTGATTCATCCCGCACGGGGGAAATTCAGTTGTTACAGCAGTAGGATAGACATGTAGTACTAAAAGTAAAGTAACAGCAGGGTAGACATGGTATTTACAAGGTGATAAAAAAAAGTAATAGCAGGGTAGACAGTATGTACAAGGTGATACAAATATCAAAATTTAAAGTGGCCTGCAGGGAAAATAAGGTGACTACAGTTAGTAGTGGTGTACATGGAACAAGATAAAAAATACATTTGTTACCGAGTCGCGGGGCCGGCAGTCGCTACCACAGCCACCCAAATCACACTGCACCGTATCAACCCCCCTAAACCTTCCTGTGGATGGTGAGTCCACTGGAAAGTACCAACTGCCCTAACTGGGATTCGATCTTGCCCAGGAGTTGAACCCTGAGGTTCCACACCAATGATAGAGGCATCTGGGCCAAAGCGCCACAAGACGGTGACTATGTATATATTTATTGTGTGCCAGTAGAAGGGTGTTAAGTTTTCTTCCCTTAAAAAGAGGGGTATATCTGAGTTTGCATGCTTCCCTTGTTTGTGCTTCGTTTTCATCCCACCATCAAAACATGAGTGATTGGGTTCAGTGAAATTGACCGTAGCTACGAATATAATTTTGAGAGGTTGTTTGTTGTTATATGTCCCTGTGACTGGGTTTACTCCGCCCCTGTTTAATACATATGGAATTGGCTGCAGCTCCTTTTATTCTGAAGAGAATTATGGGGTTGAAGGTGGATCGATTAACAAATTAGGTCTCAGTCCTTCATTTATTTTCCAACATCAACATGGAGTAGACTGGGAAACTGCTGAAAAACTCCAGACCAAATTGAAGATTACAGACTTTCGTCCCATTTAAAACTCTGCAGTAAACTGAAGATCAGGTGCAATTTGATAGGACGGTCAAAGCCCCGAGAGCCTTAAGAAGTAGTCCAAAATAATTAACTGCGACACCTCAGGAAACAAACCATAGGTTTGTACAAACAGTATTAAAACATGTGTCAGCAGCAGATGATTGTTGAAGAAAATATTGTTTCAATTATACAAAAGACACAGCTTTTTTCTTATTTACAACACTTCACATACTATAACCAAGCTCCTCCAGTGAATCTGATGCTTATTTTGATAAAGACAACCATCAGTATCATCCTGTTACAGTTTTACCTTTGTGTCTCTTTACCTCTCACCTGTTTCTACTGCTGTTTGATGTCATTGTTATCTTCTTTAATTCTCCTCTCTGACATCAGAACCAAAAAACAACATGTTTGTGTTCACACAAAATGAACTTTAGACTGGCGTTATGACGGCCACAAAAACACATACGCACACACAGACACGCAAAAACACACCTACATGTACACATCTGTAAACCCGAAGTGCATTAGGAGAGTGAGAAGGTTTTCTAACATGCTGTTTTTCCACACGTTCAAATATTGTTACAGCTGGGTTTTCTTTCGTTTGTTTAATTTTTTACATATTGCTGCCTAATTGTCACTTAATGTAATTTTAACTATTCTTACAATGTTACACTGGGTGTATGAGGAAAGTAATACAAATCTAATATGTTACTATCTCACACTCAAACTTTCAAAGATATCTGTGATTTTCGGATGGACTGTTGATCCCAGTAATTACTGCCTTTGAGGTAAATCCTTGTTTTTGTCTGTTTGTTTTTCTGTCTGTGTTAGTGTCCACGTGTGTTCAGATCAGCTGACTGTTTTAGGCATTTCTGCTCCCTTGCTTTTGCTCTCTAACCTTTTTTGGATTCTTGACTCGTACACTGTATCCCAATTTAGAAAAGCACAGTATATTCAACCTGCAGCTCCGCCGCACGTGTAACTTCAACTCATTGATTTGGGACTGTGTCGATAGCTGAAGGCTGCAATCTCCAAGGCAAAACAGACACTCAAGTGAAACAAAAATCTACATGTTGATTTGTTGACAACATGTTTATCAAACATTGAGTTATTCAGATTTTGAATTTTTATATAAAAATGTGAAATATTATGATTGAACATTACAAAAAAATAAAAAATAAACTACAAAAGTGAATTAGTGACTATTTCAAATGTTCCTCTGGCTAATAGCTTTTTTTCCCAAGACTATCCAAATCTGTGTAGCCTGCTTTTTGAGACACCATAATAACTTGCATGACCTTTTCAGTCTTACTTTGACTATGTTCCAATCTTAATAAGCATTTATTTTCTTTAAAACGTTTTAATTATCTGTCCTTCATTTGCTGCATATTAAGAAAGTGCATACTTTGTCTGGGAATATGATCGTTTTATACGGCTTTTTTACCGTTACGTCAATAAAGGGCTCGGTTGAGTCGAGCCCACCACTTAAAGTCCCCTGTGATTAGTCAGTAGTAAATGACGTCAGCAGGGCAGCAGGAACATCCAGTTATGTTCAGCTATTCCAGTAAGAGGGCGGAGCATGGAGTACTTTAAAAGCCGGTATCCATTTACCGGCATTTCACAGCAGTGCTTTCGGAGGCGTAGCGAAGCTTTTAATTTGTGCTATATTTATTATTTATTTATTTAGTATATTTTTTTAAAACGAAGTCGTCCACCATGCTTGGCCTTGTCCTTTATGTGCCTGTATCCAACTCAGACCCAGTGGAGGTGGAATGTTTCGAGTCGAACGGTCTCCCGACCGAGCTCAAATCAGTCTTTCAGACACTGAGTGTCCTGCTGCCGTCTCAGGAGTTTTCTACCTACCAGAGATGGAGAAAGGTTGGTGGAATATTATTATTTAAAATAGTTCCTAAATGAATTGAATTGTAACCATTCAAGTTCATATGTAATTCATTGTTTGGTCACCGGAAAAGGTAGCATTAGCAACAGCTAGAGCGTACCACACGTAGCTGTGTGGTAGGCCACAAGCCGGTGTGCCCAAACTATTGCACCAAGGGCCGCTGTGGCTGCAGGTTTTTGTTCCAACCCAGCAGTAGCACACCAGAGTTGACAGGTTTAATCAACTGGTCGCAGTCTTCAACAGCCGAAGGTCAAACTATGTGCCCCCCTCCAGCCCGCCCATTCAGCCAGACTGTGTGTAATTTAGATAACCCCGCTGTAGTAAGGACTTTGGCGTTTTGGATCTTTTTTTTGCTGAAAAAGCGCAGGACTTCTGATCGAGCTGTAGATTAGACACTGATCACACCTGTGTTAATTATTTCAAGCAGCTGCTCGATATATCGAAAATTAGCTGCTTGGTTCAGGAATTGCAGAAATACAGAGTTGTAGTCAGTGCAGATCCACACTTTGTACTGCATGACTGCCATGTGTCCAGTGGGTCAAGTATCAGCCATTAAGGTTCATTTTTATGAGGTTTCAGTAAGCTGGAAGATTGCCCTGGGGGTATTTTCAAAGATGGGGTATTACTTCATCGGGTTACAACGTGGAAACACTACACAAAGAAAAATGGGTCACAGGACTGTCCATTGGTGTCATGAAATTCAAGCCAGGGGGACCGTTTTGAATCTTGAAGATCATGTTCAAGTTCATCCCTGGTCGGCACAAAGTATACCAATTTTATTAAAGGGAGATGGCACATGTGCTTAAATATGTAGTTTTGTACACATGCTTTAGGATGTGCATGATGGTCCTGGATTGTAATGCACTATTTTTCTTTTTCTTTTTTCTTTTTTGCAGAAAGGCTCTTCAATACTAGAAAACGATCCAGAAGGACAGCTGGACTTTGAAGAGTTTGTTCACTATCTGCAGGACCACGAGAAGGACCTGAAACTTGTAGTGAATAGTGTTGACAGGAATGCAAGTATGTGGCAGCAGTTTTAGTTTCTGCTTTGTCTCGGACTCAATAAATGTAATTCAGCATGTGAGTAACGTCTTCCTTTGTTTCCTTTTTAAGGCCACATAGACCCAAAAGAATTTATGCAGTCTCTCCATGATCTGGGTGTCCACATTTCCCTGCAGCATGCAACTAAAGCTCTTAAAAGGTAATACTAGTCATTCTAGTCGAGTGGATAACTTTTAATTTGTTTTTAAAGTGTCACAATGATTCTCTTGTTTTCTTCACAGCATGGATAAAAATGGTTTGATAACAATCGACAGCAAAGACTGGAGCAGCTATGCTGTGGTAGAGAAGACCGAGAGCATTCCTGAGATCATACTGTACTGGAAACGCTCCACGGTGAGTTTACAATAAAATCTAGGTGGACAAATCCAGTCCAGCTATAACTAATGGGGTCTTGAAAGTTGTTTTCTTAGATTTGATATGTTATCACAAAATGTGATAGAGTTCTGCTGTAACTGGGACTATTCAAAGTGCACTGGGCCTTTTCTCACAGCCACTAGAGGTTAGAAAACAGGTTGCCTAAGAAAGATTGTATCTCATAGCTGTGCAGCAGTCACTGAAAGTTGTTGGCTGTATCTAGTCTTCAGAGATTGACTGAAGGTTTTTCTGCTTTGTCCAGCTGTTATGTAAATGACTACAGCAGGCAGAGTAAGTTATTTAGCGTGGCTCCCTTAGGAGATCGTACTAAATTAATTTAACTGCCATATCCTCTAATGAGCTTGCGCTCAAACCAGCACAAAAGTCTCTGCAGTCCAGAGAGTCCAGAGCAGAGCTTGGGTTCTCCTGTAGGTCACAAGATATGCAACCAAGCCATTGACACTCAAGATGTTGGACCGTTGTGATGGTGTTTAATTTTAAACCCAGAGACTCTTTGCCCCATGTATAACACTAGTGCTTTGTATTATAACTGTTGCTGTCCTGAATATAGACTCTTCTGACGAAAAAGATAAAAGCTATGACTCTGTACTACAAAGCACTACCAAAAAGAAATATTAAATTTTTTTTTATAATTTTTGACTTGGACATTTTTCCCATTATATTTTTTGCTCTTTCATTTATGAATTCACACAAAATGTACATTACACTCCTGTGTCTCTTGCTGTTAGATATTTGATGTAGGCGAGAACCTGATGATTCCTGATGATTTCACTACTGAGGAAAAGCAGACAGGGATGTGGTGGAGGCACCTGGTGGCAGGAGGTGGAGCTGGAGCTGTTTCCAGAACTTGCACAGCTCCTCTGGACAGACTCAAAGTTATGATGCAGGTAAGACTTGGATTCTTGTGTTAATAAAGTAATTCAGGGATATTCCCAAAACAGAAATGAAATGACATGGATAGATTGTGGTAAAAGATATTTGTAGAGACAATAAGATTAAGGAATTGATCCTGTTCATAAAAACTGTAGCATAACCACAAAATATTGACTGCACACAAAGTCCTTGTACATTGTTTTAGACCTGGAAAAATTTGGATATACAATGTGTTTTTTTTTTTTATTATTATTTAAAAAAAAAACACATTTTGCAGCTGTTACACTAGATTGCTTGGTAATGAGTAATAGAACACATGCGTATGACAGAGAGGTCAGAGTCCAGGCCCACAGCAGCAGCCAGTGAAATCCCTTAACTTCCCACCACTCCCTGGTTGTGTTATCTTTACAATTTCCATTGACTAAATGTCACCTGGATCTATGTCATCTACTCTGGTCTACGTCACTGGCTGTGTTGAAATTCGACTTTGGAATCGGTGTGGTGACTTTGACCCACACTGATTTGTAATCTCATACGTCCTGTTCTATTACTTGCTGCTTGAGTAACTTAACCCAGTTCTTCTGTTTGGGTCAAACATGTACTAGTCTTGGCACAAAGTTGAATTGTGTAAGATCTGCTAAGGCAGATCCTATGCGCAATGTATGCAAAGCCAGCATTTATATGTGACAGTTGCCCATGAAATAGAAAATATGTCAGTTAGTCTAGAAGAAAGTTGTGATGAAAAGGTTGAGTTACTGGTGGTGTTTGATTAATAAGTGTTAAACAGATGTTGAACATTAATGTATGATTCATGTGTCATAGGTTTATGGATCCAGAACTAACAACATGTGTATCATGAGTGGACTAATGCAGATGATCACGGAAGGAGGGTTGAGGTCTCTGTGGAGAGGAAATGGAGTAAACATCATCAAAATTGCTCCTGAGTCTGCCCTGAAGTTCATGACATATGAAAAGGTAAAAGAATGTGTCACATTTATCATAAAGGATTTCAAAAGACTCTAACTTCTGATTGTAGTAAAATGAACTGTCTTTTGGTTTCTCCAGATCAAATGCTTAATTAGCAGTAAGAAAGAAACACTCAGCATTTTGGAGCGATTTGTTGCAGGCTCTTTGGCAGGAGTGATCGCCCAAAGCACCATCTACCCTATGGAGGTGATTGTCACAACCTTAAAATGAGAGTTTGAAACAACTTAAATGCCAGTTAATGGAAAACCCAAATGTTTTATTCTGTCTTTCTCTCCAGGTGCTAAAAACTCGCCTAGCTTTAAGAAAAACTGGACAGTACTCTGGAATATCTGACTGTGCCAAACAGATCTTCCGACAAGAAGGACTGGGAGCCTTTTACAAGGGCTGTGTTCCAAACATGCTTGGCATCATTCCATATGCAGGCATTGATCTGGCTGTATATGAGGTTAGAATTTAAATAGACTGTGTGACCGTTTGACACTGAAAACTCAGAAAATAAATTAGTACAAGAATTCCATGAAATGCCAAAATTGTGATTTTTCTTCTATTACTATAAAGGACACATTTTACAAAAAACAAAAGTTGTAGGTGTTCTTTCTAAAAATGTAACACAAGGAAGTTGAATCAGAGATTTCACACTCGCTTACAACATACAGCCTGATCAAGTGACAAAAACCAAAAATTGCAAAATCATTTCCTCATGCTGTACTTTCCTCCATCAGACTTTGAAGAACAGATACCTGCAACACTACAGAGCCAACACTACTGACCCAGGGGTCCTTGTCTTCTTGGCCTGTGGCACAATCTCCAGCACATGTGGTCAACTGGCCAGTTACCCTCTGGCTCTCATCCGAACCCGCATGCAAGCACAAGGTGAGATTGCTGTTGAGACCTGCTCAGACCAGTTGATCAAGAATTTTTTTTTTTTTTTTTTTTTTTTTAAGCTTGGTTGTTTATTTACTACCATTTCTAAGTTAATTTCTTAAAAGCAGAGTTTACAATTTGCAGGAGATTTTTTTTTTTTTTTAAATGTCATTTTTATTTATTTTTTTTTTTAGCTGCAATAGAAGGGAGCCAGCAGATGACCATGTCCAGTCTCTTCAGGCAAATCCTGCAGACCGAGGGTCCAACAGGCCTCTACAGAGGCCTTGCCCCAAACTTCCTGAAGGTAATCCCTGCTGTCAGCATCAGTTATGTGGTCTATGAGCAGCTGAAGACACAGCTAGGAGTTACCTCACACTGAAGAAAGATGCCCAACCCCACTGACCTCAAAACCTTCAAATGTTTGTTGTGACCCTTGCGTGTGGGAGGGTAACCCCTCTTCTGACACCCCATTACTCACCCTTCATCTGATACACAGGAATCACAGGGTCCTGCTCTTATTTTCAGCTCCTCTCTGGGTTTGTGTGACCGTCTCATTCTGTGAATGTTAGCGGGACATTGTTAAAGGTAGAACTGGAGGATCTTGACTCTGTGAGCTCAGGTTTATCTGGAGTGGGATTCTCCCTCACTGCCCATGCTGCTGCTATTTGTGCTTTTGAAAGGATTCATTTGATGTAATTATGAATCGTGGACCAAAAAAGTGTTGTCTGATTGTGAACTAATAGTTTTATATATATATATATATATGAATTAATATATATATATATATATATATATATATATCATATATTAATCTAATATTAATATATGAACTAATAGTTCATAAGAAATGACACTGCACATACGAGGTTGACTCCTGTCGATGTCTGACACATATGGACTGATTACGGAAATGTCTGAGTATTTATTTCCATCCTTCTATTTATTATTTTATTTTCTTAAAAAATCTGATTTATTTTTTAAAGTATGCTGCTGCTTGTCTAGAGAGCCATTTGTACAACTGAAATGTCCTTTTAAAACTGCTGTGTGGGAATTGATCATAAGATGGCAGCATTAAAGACAAATGTCATTTATAGATTGAAAAGAAGAACACGGTGGGTTTGGATATGGTACTCGTCTGTTTGACAGCTATTCATTATGGCCATCTGTTCATGTTTGCTTAACAGTAAATTATAACAAATGTCAAAGTTACGGTTCAGGGACGTACAATATTTTTTTAGTTTTGTATTACATTGTTTATACTTTAAGGCGAAATGGGGGTAAATACTACTGAATATCAATACGCACTTTAATTAAAGCCAGAACAGCCTCTCTGTAAACAAATGTTTCAGTGCAGGTGTTCATATTTTGATTGTATGTTTTTATATTTTAAAAGACCATTTTATTGCAAATAAATGCAAAATTCTTTTTACATATCCCTGTATTGTGTTCATTTTTACAGAATGAAGTCTTTTCTTTCTTTCGGCTTTGTCCCTTTTTCAGGGGTTGTCACAGCAAATCACTGATTTCCATCTCTCTCTGTTCTCTGCATCTTCTACTCTGACTCCAACTATCTGCATGTTCTCCTTCACTGCATCCATATATCTCCTCTTTGGCCTTCCTCTTTGTCTCCTACCTGGTAGCTCCATCTCTAACATTCTTCTACCAATGTATCCACTGTCCCTCCTCTGTACATGTCCAAACCATCTCAATCTGGCTTCTCTAGCTTTTTCTCCAAACCTTCCTGTCTGTGTTGTCTCTCTAATGACCTCATTCCTGATCCTGTCCATTCTTGTCACTCCTAAAGAGAATATCTAACTCTGCCACCTCCAGCTCCACCTCCGTCCTTCTTCTGCCTATTGCTACTGTCTCTAAACCATACATCATGGCTGGTCTCACCACCGTTCTGTAAACCTTTCCCTTCACCTTAGCTGACACTCTTCTGTCACAGATCACTCCTGACACTTTTCTCCAGCTGTTCCATCCTGCCTGTACTCTATTCTTCACCTCTCTTCAGTTGAACAGTTGATCCTAAGTACCTAAACTCCTGCACCTTCACCACCTCTGCTCCTTGTAACCTCACTATTTCACTGTTCTGCCTTTTGTTTACACACATGTACTCTGTCTTGCTACGACTGACCTTCATTCTTCTTTCTAGTGCAAACCTCCATCTCTCTAGGTTCTCTTCTAGCTGCTGCCTACTCTCACTACAGATCACATCATGTAATCTGCAAACATCATAGTCCATAGTGACTCCTGTCTGACAAGAAGGGGCTCAGGACCGAACCTTGATGTAGTCCCACCTCCACCTTGAAGTCTTCTGTCCTTCCAACAG